AAAAAAAAAAAAAAAAAGAAAGTGCTATAGAACTACAGAATGGAACAAGATAGTTTTCCTACAGGGCCTATGATCTCTTAATAACCAATAGGATTTTATAGTCTTTAAATGAAAATCATTACATTTTTATGGGTTTAGAGGCAAATGCCTGCCTACCATAGTTATAAGATGAGATGTATCTGGTGGTGCCTGTGCCTCAGTGGGTAGGACACCAGCCACATACACTGAGGCTGGTGGGTTTGAACCTGGCCTGGGCCATGTAAAGCAACAATGACAATTGCAACAACAACAAAATAGCCGGGAGTTGTGGTGGGTGCCTGTAGTCCTAGCTACCAGGGAGGCTGAGGCAAGAGAATTGCTTAAGCGCAAGAGTTTGAGGTTGCTGTTAGCTGTGATGCCACAGCACTCTACCCAGGGTGACAGCTTAAGACTCTGTCTCAAAAAAAAGAGGAAAAAAAGATGAGAAGTATCCATGATTAATGTTTTGCTCGTAAATGCTCCAGAGCTTTACCGAAAGAAGTAAACACTTCTCTGCTGGGCCTGTAGGGTGCCTTTTTAGAACTACTGAGCCTTGAAGCAAGGGTAGAATTTAGATCAACATGGAGGGATGGAGAAGGGACTGTAAAGTAGGTAGACAACTAAGTGTGTAAGGTGTGTTGAGTAGATAAGCTGCCATAGAATACTCTTTTGTGGAGTCAGGCTATTTCTAGGCAACTGATATAATCTTGGTGTATTTAATGATATTATTAACTAGATGAATGATTATAGTATGCCCTGTCTATTTTCTTGGTTTTCTGGAACATTTGCTAACTCTTATTCCTTAGGGTTTTGTTGTAAAAAGAGGAAGTTGGGATGGGGAGCAGGGAAGGTCTTACAGGACTCCTCTTTGAATTCCAAATTTTATTACTATTTAAGCATTTTATGTTGATGTAAGTAAGGGCATTCTAAGCATAGAATATTACCAATTATTGCATTTTTTGGTTTGTTATCACAGGCTAGATGAGACAATACAGGCCATTGCCAATGGAACCTTGAACCAGCCACTGACCAAATTGGATAGAGCTTCTGAAGATCCTTTGGGAGTTCTGGTAAATCCCAGTCTGTACCAGTCCCCTCCCCAGGTTAGTGAACCTTTGCTCTGACTGATAATGAGGGAAGTTTGGACCCGTATATTTTCCCTTTTAAATGTGTCTATTTCATAAGCTTTAGATAACAAATTCACTCTTAAAACACACCCGCCAACCTTATTCTCTGACTCATTTTTTTCTAATTTTTATTGTAGCACTCTGGCAAGTAGACCTGAATTATCTTCTTAGAATTTCTCAGGAGAGGGTTTTGTTAAGTACTACATAAATTTAGAAAATAATCTCATGGTCCTTTTGTTAATGTTCTTTCTTTATCTTTTATAAAATATGGATAGTCCTATAAAGTAGTGTTTGAAATTAATTTATTAATTCACTCATTCATTGTCATCATTCATATTATTGTCCAGTACATAAGCATCTACTAGTGATAAGTACAGCAGTAAATGATCAGATACTGATTCTGTCCTCAAGGAACTCACAGACTAGTAGGGAAAAAGATCTACATAAGCAGCTCTAAAGTAATAGCATATAAATTAAGTGTTGTGGAAATCCAGAGGAGAGAAAGCCTGCCTCTAGTTGGGGAAAATCAAAAGGTTTTACAGAGAAGCTGGCATTCGTTAAAGTAAATATTCAAGAAAATGGATACTTAGACATGGTGGGGAAAAATATTCCAAACAGAATGAACTATAAGAGCAAAGATATATGTGTATTAAAGCATATGATTTATGTATATATATAGGTAGTAGTAAAGACAGGCTACCTAGATAGGACTCATAAAGTAAATTATCATGAGAATTAGAGTAGGGTTAGGTAGGATGAGACACTAAAGAACTTAAATGTTGGCCAGGTACAGTGGCACATGCCCTATAGTCCCAGCTACTTGGGAGCCAAGGAGGCTGAGCTGAGCAGGAGGATTACTTGTGCTTAGGAATTGGAGGCCAGACTATGCAATAGTGAGACCGCCTCTTAAAAACAAGGAAAAAAAGGCTGGGTGTGGTGACTCATGCCTATAATCCTAGCACTCTAGGAGGCCAAAATGAATCGATTGCTCTGAGTACAACCTGAGCAAGAGTGAGACCCCATCTCTAAAAATAGCAGAGCCTTGTGGGCGCCTGTAGTCCTAGCTACTTGGGAGGCTGAGGCAAGAGAATTGCTTGAGCCAAAGAGTTTGAGATTGCTGTGAGTTATGACAGTACAGCACTCTTCAGTGGGCAGCAAAGTGAGACTGTGTCTTTTAAAAAAAAAAAAAAGGAGGCTCAGTGCCTGTAACTCTGTGGTTAGGGTGCCAGCCACATGCACTGTGCTGGTAGGTTTGAACCCGGCCCAGGCCTACTAAACAACAATGACTAGCCAGGCATTGTGGCAGGTGCCTGTAGTCCCAACTACTTGGGAGGCTGAGGCAAGAGAATCGCTTAAGCCCAAGAGTTTGAGGTTGCCATGAGCTGTGACGCCATTGCACTCTACCAAGGGTGACATTCTAAAACTCTGTCTCAAAATAAATAAATAAATAAATAAGCCAAGAGGATCATTTGAGCCCAAGTGTTTGAGGTTGCTATGAGCTCTGATACCATAGCACTCTACTCAGGGGACAACTTGAGACTGTCTCCAAAAAAAAAAAAAAAAGACATGAAACTATAAAAATATAAGAAGAGAGTACAGGGAAAATGCTTGAAGAAATTGGCCTGGGAAAATATTGTATGAGA